TTAGCTAACCCAAAATTTCAAGCTAAAGAAAACACAAAATCAAGGTTTTAGACATTAGAAGTTGCTAGAAAACCCAAAACAGAAACCAAAGAAAAGATAAATATTACTGACATAAGTATTAAGCTGTCTGATGAAACTGGAGAAGTTGTTATGTTTGAAGTATCTGGGCAAGAGGTCCCTCGAAAACTCTGGCGGGTTCCAAACAATGAAGCTTTTATTGCTCTGACTCCAAGAGACAACACGGTTGGTCGAAGGATTATCCACCATTTCATACGTCTTGACAAGGAAAGGAGGTAAACCATTGGAAGATTCATCCATGATTATAATACAAAATCTTGGAATATATTCAGTCCCCTCACTCAAGCCAAAACCTTTAAGATCAGATAAATGAAAACTCAATTTTCACTTCAAGACCTCAGATTTCTTCAGAATCCTAAACCAGACAAAACCCCTCTGTAAAAATGTCGAATCTTTAACAAAATCCCCAGCAATCAAACTCTCCTCTGTAACTAAGGCCTCGATCATCAAACCTTCTTGCCTCGATTCTCAGCAAAGCCGTCAAAAACGACCAAGAATTCACAAAGGGCATAACCCCACTAGAGCAAAACCGAGAGACGGAACACCCATAGAAGCAAATCACAAGAAAAGTCAATATCTTTCACGGGTGATATCATAACGAGCACAGAATTGCAGGTCAGGTGTTTGATGATTTTACCAGGTGAGGAAGAAGACAGAAGACTAAAGTGTTCTTGACGGTGGTGGGCAATTGGGATCTGTGTGGATCGAGAAATTGTCTTCCCCTCTGGATTACCGATTTTTCCGCGGGGTTTTCTAGGGTTTTGTAAAGCGAATTGAAAAAATCGTCGTAATCATTGTTCACACTGTAGGGCACCCACCAAAGTTCTTCGTACCTTCGTTTTTTAAGGAAAAAAGAAAAAGACACGTACAGTGATTCAATATTGGTTTTTTATTATTCTTTCTTTCCAGGTAATTTTTTTTCTTTTTAAAGATTACAATTTAGAAATTTTGGGTTATGGTTACTTTTTTTTTTGAAAGGATTATGGTAACCTTTGATTGGTGAAAATTAAGAAAAAGAGATTTTTTTTTCTTGGATTATGGTCACGTTTATATTTTGCTTCATCCCTATTCTTATTTTTATTAATCATTTATTAAAGTAAATTAGTTATGTTACATTTTGTTCAAGTATTTTGATAATTTTTTAATATATGAATTTTTTATCACTATTTAAATAAAATGAATTGATAAATAATCCAGTCAACCGTTGTAATGTATAATCTAACATTTAATTTTTGCTTCATCCTTATTCTTATTTTTATTAATCACTTATTAAAGTAATTTAGTTATGTTACATTTTGTTCAAATATTTTGATATATTTTTTAAATATATAAAATTTCTACTACTATTTAAATAAAATCAAATGATAAATAATCCAGTCAACCATCGTAATGTATAGTCTAGTTGTAAAATACTCCATCCGTTATAAAATTAATTTCGCATCTGACTTTTCACGATCTATAATGTAACTCTTTAAGTATTATTATTTTTATTCATATAAATATATAATATTAAAATAAAATAATTCAAAATAATGTTTCAAAATGAATATATTACTATTTAATTTATATGAAAATTTAATGTATTATTTCTGTAATATGTAATTAGAATTTAAAAAGTTTAATCGCAAAACTTAAAATGAAAAGTTAATTTCAACGAATGAATATAGTACGGAGTAGCATTTCATCCGTTGGGAAATGTGCTATATTTGACATTTGTATAATTAACTAGAATTTAATCACTTAATATGTGCCTTGTATCTTGGCTTTATTGCAATGTGCCAACTAGTCAACTACTATTTGATGATGTAATCCATGACGTAATTTTACTGCACAACCCATAGTGTATATGCTTAAATATACACTTTATGCCATTTAAAAGCTCCGTTCTGTTCAACTTATTTTTCTAATCTGATCTGATTTTAATAAGTTCTGATCTGATCTGATTGATTGGATTTGATCTGATATGATTAAATCTGATCTGATCTGATCTGATTAGATCTGATCTGATCTGATTGGATATGATCTGATCTGATTGGATCTGATCTGATCTGATTGGTTCTGATCTGATCTGATTGGTTCTGATTTGATTGAAAATTGTAATGATAATTCATATTATAATATAATCAATATTTTTTTATGATTATTTTTTAATGAAACAAAATTAATTAACTCATACTCCCTCCGTCCCCCTAAGATGTTCTCATTTTGACTTTTGGTGATTTTTAAGGAGAGTTGAAAAAAGGTGAAAGTTTACCATAATACTCTTAATGAAAAATGGGTGGAGTGTATTAAATGAGGTGGGTGAGGTGTAATAAATAAAGTAAGTGGGGGTAGTTGTGGTATTTTAATTGTTAAAAAATGAAATGAGAAGATCTATTGTGGACAAAGAAAAAAGGGCTATTGAAAAGATCTATGGGGGACGGAGGGAGTATATTAGAATAATCATTCATATTATAATGTAATAAGATTAAGAAAAATGCAGAAAAAATAAGTTAAACGGAACGGGGCCTTAGTCATCTAGATTATACTTTTTTGGGAGATTTAAGATAGTGTTATGGATAAATGTTATGCTAATACGGAATATGGTGATAAAGTTTTAATACGTGAGAAAAATTTAAAATTCAAAATTTAAAATTTTAACTATAAACTTTAAACATTTAAAATCTAAAAGTAAGTGTTAAAAATTTAGAATATAAAATTTAAAATTTAAAATCTAAAAAATAAAGTTTAAAGTTTAAATTTTAAAATATAAAGTGAAACAACTAAAAAATATGGAATTTAAAAAGTAAGGAGTAATAAAGATATTGATAATGATAATAATAGTAGTAGTAGTAGTAATAATAGTAATAATAATAATAATAATAATAATAATAATAATAATAATAACAACAACAACAATAATAATAATAATTCTTATTTGGATCTGATCTGGTCTGATTGGATCTGATCTGATCTGATCGGATTTGATCTGATCTGATCTGATTGGTTCTAATCTGATTGGTTCTGATCTGATCTGATCTGATTTTAATAAGATTAAGAAAAAAGCAGAAAAAATAAGTTGAACGAAACAGGACCTTACTATTTATATTTTCCTTCTCCAATGCATGGTGTATACCTAATGGTAAAATGCACTATAGTGCAAAATACCACTCCCACCTTCTATTTATACAAGATCACTATTACTTATCCTTTTCCTCTCTTTTTTTTTATTTCTCTTTCTTCTTCTCAATTTGCTTCACATTCGTCCTTTTGTTAATTCATTTCTTCATTTATTGTGAGTTAATTCTATTTTCTTTTACATATTGTAATTTTATTCGTAAGTAACATTCTCCATTCTAATAATTAAACTATGAATTAAAATAAGTATTATGAATAAATAATTTAGAATAATAAAAAAAATTTAAAAAGTGTATTATATACGGAGTAGAAGATATGATTAGAGTAGTTATTAAAAATTGGGTGTGTATAACACTGTTGATAGTGTAAAATTGATTTTACACTATCACTTTATACCCTATGCACTGTAGATGCTCTAAGAGTGTCAATTTTCATTGACTTTTTTTAAATTATTCATACAATTTACAGAGTATTTTGGAAATTTTATTTTGGAAAATAATATAATCTTGTATTTTTTGTTTTGTAGAAATTTTATTAATTTTAACTTTACAAATTTTATTTTTAAAATCCACCCAATTTTTTTAAAAAATTAAATTAAAAATAATTTCAATCAAATATCGTAAATTGAAAGAAACAGTTTAATTAGAGACATTGAGCGTAAAATGATATACGAAGTGCAATATTCCAAACCCAGAGTGTATCATACATATTAAAAAAACTACAGAATACATTAAATTTTTTTATGAAACAAGAGGTGTCATATTTAGGTTATTTTGAAAAATGATTAACTAAAATAAGTAAAGAAAAAAGTTTGAAATATAAATAATGAAATCGAACGATTAATTTGGAACAAATGAATTAGTCCATATGTCATACTCTGTATCTTTTTTATTTTTCAAGGAAAATTGTAGTTTCCATAAATCCGTTTTCCCAGTACGTAGTGGGCAAATTCCCTCTTCTTTTGACCTATTTTTAAGAAAAAATTGTCCAAATATAATTCTAATTTTCGCTGTGATGCATAATAATCAAATTCTCATCTTTAATGAAAAGTATGAACTTTTTGTCACTGTTAAAACCACTAATGATTGAATTGGTTAACAAAAATGACTTATTTTGCATAACAAAACTAAAATTAAGATTATTTTTTATAAATTTTTGTTTTAGTTTTTTTAAATAATCTACCCTTGAAGTTTTAAAATGACATGGTATCTCCATCATTTCAAATTCTTTTTTATAAATATTAGTCTTGCTTTAGATAAATTTAAAAAAATAGATATAAAAAATAACAAAAATGAGAAACACAGATAAATTATAAGAAAATAATGAAATAAAATGATAATAAATAAAAATTAAATTTAAGCTGGTAGGAAATAAAAATACTTTAAGTGGTGAGTTTTAAAGTTTTACGCATTATACGGGATATTAATATTTAATATATTACTTCTTCCCTTTGGTCAAATTTGAAAAGAAAATAAGAAATAAAGAAGTTAATTTTCTTATTAAGAAGTAACTAAAACGAATTATGTTGATGTAAGAAAATAATTTTTATTTCTTATTTTTTATTTTAGTTTCCCTTATTTAGGGTTTAAGATGAAAATATTTTTTTTATTTCTTGTTTTTTATTTTTATTTTCATTTTTTACTAGCGGGAGAAAATAATATATTTTCAATTGTTTTTTGCACATTTGCAAGCAATATAAGAAAACAGAGCTGTGTGGTTGGAATCAATAAAGAGACTCACAGTTCCAAATGGAGAAAATTATGCTTGTTGAAACATGTCAATAACTCACTCTACTAGAAAGTAGAAATATTCACCATTCCAAAGAGACTATTATCTAGACAAATCTTCTCTCTCTTTTTCTGTATTTCTTCTTGTAATGAACTAATATTTGAGAAAGAGACCTGTACTGTACAAATTTAACACAAACATATGCATTGAATCACACGGCTTCAGGTACAAGAGAGAGAGAGAGAGCCTTTTTCTTTAGGGTTATTTGAAAACACTAACACCTATAACTTACTGTAAAATGAAGGGCGATTCACTAACCTCGGTTTGAAGGATTATGAGTAGGAGCAGCTTGCATCAACCGTATTCTCGGGAAGATAAGAGGCTTGCAGCAGAGTAGAGCAAACACCAACTCCACCGAGAATAACGTCAAACTAATCCAAACAAACAGAGTTGTCTTCCAATACCAAATTAGCCTTTGCAGCAGGGGAAGCTGAGACTCGACAACCAGAGACGCAGCGTATAGCTGAGGAAGCCCTCCTCCCGGGTGAAATTCAGCTCTTTGCTCTATGGTTACCCTCACACAGGCAGTTGGCATATCACCTTGGGTCAAACCTTTGAATTCTACAGCCAACTCTTGGGATTCTGAGGTGTAGCCTGTGATGAGTGATGCTGTCTTGAGGAAAGTCGAGAGAAGGCGTATTGGCTGGCTTTTAAAGTGAAGTATGCACGGGCGCCTTGAGCTTGCAAGTACCATACCATTGGACGTTAGGAGATCAACCCTTACCTTGAAAGACACATACGTATTCCTCAATTGATGAAGAACAGAACCAATGAGATTTTAAAGTAAGTGAAACTGTACAAATTTGGGGCATACTCTTAAGATGGACCTGCCTAATCCCACCTACGCTTACGTTTACCTGAACTCGGAACTCCAAAATTGTTCCACAAGCAATATGATATCCTTTTTTTAGTGCAGCAATATTATATCCTAGTGCTTTATGAAGCATATTATTTTTTTCCCATATTTGACAATTCCAGCAAAATCAGGTCAGAATCCATGCAATGCTTAAGATAAGGACTTTTCAAAGACACGAATAAAATTATGATGATTTGCATCGAGTTAATAATTAGTAACCAATAATGTACACTTGCTCCTGCTTGTGTTACAGGAAAAGGATATATGTTTTGACGTTTTGGGATCCGTTCATAGAACCATCAAATGTAATCGCCAAAAAAGAAGAGTGACTTAATGCAGTTAACACCGGAGTTTGAAGATAGCATACCTGAAAAACTCCAAGGTTTCTGTTGTAATCTGACTCCGGAAGTGTCAATGAAACAGTGGCAGACAACTTATGCTTAGGAGGGATACTGAAATGCATCCCATCAACCTGACCAACATCCAGCTGATGATCCCTATAATCAATTTTCCCACTCAGCCCCTGACATCCCGTGATCGGCACAAATGCCACTGGGCTTTTCTCTGTATAATCAAAATTCAAACTCTCCACCATCTTCATCGGTTCTTCCACCAAGTGACTTATCAAGAAACCACCCGTTAGAAAACCCAGCACCAATAACCCCATCAAAAGAACAGCTACATATATTGAGCACAAAAGCCCCCATCCACACTTCATCCCTAACCTCCAAAATGATCTACGTTCTTTCAACCATTCAGACACCAAACCCAAAGCCTTTCCAAACACATAACTGAAAACCATAACACACTTTTTCAGCAAATACTGTTTCAATTGCCTTGCAACACAAAATGGGTCCATCACAAACATATAGACGGAGTATATTGTTCTTATGGGACACAAGAAGAACTTAGTTGTGAAACTAAAGACAATTAAAAGTAAATTAACTTGAAGAGTTATGGCCTTTATTACTAAATCAGATAAAACTAACAGAATACTTGAATCATCGGTTTCGCTTGTATTTAAATCAGCTCTCGGAAAGCTATCATGTTCAGTTTCCCTATCCATGACGACGGAATTCAGATTCCTCTCTTCGCTCATCCCACTTTCTAGTCTTCCTGAGCTTGAACTGACCTCAAAGGGATCTAAATTCCCCGGCTTTCTATCTCCGTTCATGTTATGGGATTCCATATTTCCCTGCTTCTCAATTTCCTTCAATTCATTCGAACATCCCAAGCCTGTTCCTTTCAAACTTGAAACATTCTCTGCGCTCACCAACGAGCTAGCATCGGGAGAGTCAAAGCACGACGTGGACCGGGAGAAGGGTCGCCGACGGCGTCGAATCGTCGCCGGCGAACAGGACTTGCGATTTTCGATCTTCAATTTAGGGCCCGGAAGTGTGACCGAACCGTCACCGTCCATTTCGGCATCGGAGAACACGTCGCTGCAATCGTCGAACGGGAATTCATCCGCCGCGTCGTCGAATCCCATCTCGTCAATTGGACTGCCCGGCGTCGCCCCTTCCCCCATCAATCGTATCCGCGAACAGATCGAGATGCGCCTGATTGCACGTATGGATCACCCTGTAATGTATAGCGAAGGGGATAGAGATTAGAAGACATTTTCATTTGAGAAGGGAAAGATTGAAAATGTAAATTTGGGGAAAGGAATCGGTGGAACGGCGCATGGGATTGCATCATCCCGGCACCGGTTCAGTTTCTAACAATGAATCCAAAAAAAAAACAGTTTTAACTTTTAACAATGCCACATTAAAAACTAAAATCCATTATTTTTTTAAACCTATTCTTGTAACAATAAATGTGGGATTTGACCAACATTAAAGGTGGTTAAAATTAATTTGGAATAGTCGTAATAATTCTCATGCATGGAAGACTTTCGGTAAATCTAGAAATAAAAAATGAATAACATTGGCTAAGGACATTACAATTAGATTGAATAATACGTATAAGCTGATTGAACAAATATTGAGATATAGAGAAGAACTTGCTTCCTTTCATAGGTATGAACTTAATCATATAATTAGGCCAAATAGCGCCAGAACACCCCGTGGTTTGCAAAATAGGCACCAAAACCCCCTTTGTTTTCAAAACTTATTTCTAAAGTCCTTGTGATTTCAAATTGCTGCACCCGTGCCCCCTCTGATCATTTTCCGGCCATTTTTCCAGGCGAAGAAGGGGGGCATTGCTGCATATTTACTAAACCACAGGGGGTATCGGTGGTGATATTTATTTCTCGCTTATTTTTTTGTTTTTTCCCATTTTTTTCCTTTATTTGTTTCTTTTATTAATAAAGGTTTTTTTTTAAATTATTTTTATAATGTTCATAAAATTTAAAGTTATTTTTGTTTGAAAAAATTAACATATAATGTATATGTACTTCTCAAATCAACATTTTTTGTTTTTTCGGAAAAAAGTAAACTTTTTTTTGAGAATTTCAAAAAAATGAGGAATAAAATAAGAAACAAAATAATACAAAAATAAAAATGAATATCTTTTTCTAACATCTCAATTCTAAGGACTTTTTTAGGCTTGTCCATTTTTTTGTACAGGCTTTTTTTGTGTATTTTTTTTTTATTTTATTTTTCCATATTTTTATTTTAGGTTTTTCTTTTTGAAGTTTCCAAATAAGTACGTAACAAAAAGTGAAAATGTTTAATTTCAAATAGATGCAATGTATGTTAATCTTTTTATTTTTATTTTTTTTCAAGCACAAAAAATTTTAAAATTTTAAAACATTATAAAAAATTGAAAATAAATTAGAAAAAAAATAGGAGAAGAAAAAAGAGATAGAAAATATTTGTTTTTTTTTTAAAAAACACAAATAATAAACGAAAATAAAAAATGAGCACGAATGCCCCCTATGATTTAAAAATTATGCACAAATGCCCCCTCTTCGCCGGAAAACGGCCGGAAAATGATCAGAGGGGGCACGGGTGCAGCATTTTGAAACCACGAGGACTTTAGAAGTAAGTTTTGAAAATAGAGGGGGTATTGGTGCCAATTTTCCAAAACACAGGGGGCATCGGAGCTATTTGGCCCATATAATTAAGCTAAATGATTTTCTTACTATTGAAAAAATAAACGTGTTAGACTTTTTTAATAATGCAGCTCTAACTTTCTCGCATGTTATAAACCCATGACAAAGATTTTTTTCTGAGTATATTACGATAACTACATGTTTTGTGAAGGTTTGTCTGGTCTAGCTCTGGGCCCCTATGTATATCCTATGAGGGATAAATGGTGTGCTTATTACTTGTATATTTCTGATATTATAAAATTTATTTTACTTGTGATCCACATCTAAAAACTGAGAATTTGAAAATTCTCATGAAGTATTATTATACGGAGTAGTTTTATAGATGACAATGGTTATTATTATGAGCATTTAATAAAATGGACGAAAGATAGTGAGTCAGGGATAATGCTATTAACCTTTTTTACTTTTTTTTATAAAGAATTTCAAGTTTTGTACGATAGTCCCCTCTAGAAGAAACAACAACTCCTCCTGCCCCAAACACAGAGAAAGGTTTTAAAGGGATAATAGTACATGCGGTACAACAGTAAGTTCACACAACGAACTTTTGAGTCACTTGTTTGCAATCGAGATTGACTCTAGGGCAAGGCGTCGAGCACAAGAGGCAGGCTACGACATGAATACACATAATTACATGGATGTAACCACAAAGGGAATTGATAGTTTCGATAAATAACTTAGTTTTTTTCTTAAATTGTAATTAATTTTTTTAGTTCAGCGGTTTATACGCTTATTCGAGGTTTTTTATGGTTCTCAAATTCATCTCATCATTTTTTTAAATTAAACACTACCAAAAACTGGTCCAGAACCGGAACTGTCGGTTCCAAAGCCGGCACCAAAACCGCCGCGGCGAGTCACGGTTACCGGGCTGAATGGTGGCGGTGCCGGAACCGACTAAGAACCGGACCGTGTCTCGACCTGACAAGGACAATGATTGAGGTATCATTTTTCGACTTTTAAAAGGGTCTTATCATTCACTTGAGATAGGATTAGCCCACTTGTCGGCCTCAACCCATATTGATCATTCATTAATTACTCCCTTCTACATTTAATTAACCTCTACCCGTTTTGTACAAATAGGGTTTGACAAATCAAAGAAAAACAAAGTTGAAACACTTGTTGTTTCAAAAAAAAAAAAAGTTGAAACACTTGTCACTTGTTTTGGATGGTAAGGCATGCTCTATTTCTTTCATCCAAATTTATATTGGCTCATTTTTAATATGAAATGTATTTCATTTTCGGAAATTAATACAAAAGATCAAATAAGTTTTTAAAATGATATTTCGTCATACATTCATTATTTCAACCATGTTAAGATGACAATTTTGTGATATTTCACATAATGTGTTTATTAGGCAACAATTTCGACGTTTTATTCTACATTATTAAAAAAATTAATAATGCTAATTGAAAATGTTAAACTCTACCATGAATATGCACGGATTATTGAAAACATTATTCTCAAACGAAGCTAATCGAGACTACTTAATACTATACACTTCATAAAGAACGAAAAATTCATACTCTGTAACAAAAAAAGAAATCGAGAAATTTATTTTTTAGGAAAATGCTAGAAACCCATCACCCCGCCCACACACATGACATCAATACAAACCATTTTATGCTTGAAGAAACAAAAATCATCTTTGTTATTCATAAACAACTGTCGTCTATGCAGGTTTAAAATAGTCTGCGTTGTCATCAGTGGGGGCGAACCTAAGGACACTGTAGGAGGGTCCTATTCTTTAATGTTTTTTTTTGTGAGAACACTTGTGGTCTTTGACTCTTCTTCTTAGATTTGTTTTATATCTTTGATTGTGTGTGAATATAATGTTTGATCATTATATTAAAAAAAGAAACTTGAGAAGCTAGCTAGCTGGTTTTCCTAATGAGGCCATCCAAGAGCTCAAACATGTCTACTGCAACACCTTATCTGTTTCTGCTCATAATAATAGGATCATCTTTTCTGGAAGCACAGAAACTTCCTCAAGATGAGAGTGAGCTTTCATTCACTACTGCTTTGATTTAATTTCTTTTTATTTTATTATTATTCTCAATCTTGTGCCCTCAAATTCTTACTCTCCGTCACATAAACTCTTTCATGTTTTGATATTTTTTGTCACACTATGGTACTCGTTTTGATAACAAACTAAGTATAATTTAAATAAATAAATATTATATTATAAATCTTTGATATATCAAAATTACTCCCCTGCTTTTGATTTTTTGATCAAAATTAGTAAATCTTGACCTCAAATTAAATAAAAATGATATTAGGTATTGATAAAAAAATAGTTTTATTAAATTTATTATATAAAATATTTTCAAATTATTTTTTTATGTAGTTAATATACAATACATATTTTATTTAATTATACAATACATATTTTATCTAAAATGCTAACGCTATAAATGAAAAAAGTTAAAACTGGACAAGTATCTGGGGATGGAGGTAGTATATTCTAACATGAGCCCAATTATATACGGAGTAAAATTTACATAATAATTACTGACATATGAACCAAATTATTCGTGGTGGCATTTTTATTCTACATGGCCCAATCATTTTAATAGGCCCTGTGCTTTTTAGAATATTTGTCCGGTGTCTTTTTACCGTCAACTAAGATTGATCTTCGTCCTAAAATTAATTAAATGAGATAAACAATGTTTCGAAAACACTTTATAAGACGAACCTAATAAGTTTATTCTTGTAACAATATCTAACACGAAGAATAAATTTTACTTCATGTCAAATGAATGGCAAAAATTTATCAATTTTGATAGTAATAAAAAGATAAAATAGGATAAATATTGGTAGCAACAATATTTTTATTCCTTGAATTACAATGTACTCCATATTTAATACTCCCTCCGTCCCCCTGTATTTGTCCACTTTCATTTTTACACACCATCCAATGCACTTCTTTAATCCATTTTATCTTGTAATTTGTATATTAAAAAATTATAAAAATTATATATTAATAATCTATATGTTAAGACAAATCAAACAAGATCACACATGACTATATTTAGGCTTACACATTGAAAGAATTTGAAGAGTCAAAGTGCTTAGATGAACAATTCCAAAAATCAAATGTGGACAAATACAGGGAACGGAGGGAGTATGACCCTATATTCTGAAATGTTGTTGATGAATGTTATACCAGTTGTGGCCCTCGAAGAAATTGGCAGGCAGTTGGGAAAAAAAGATTGGGATATGAAGCAAAATCCATGTGATATGAACAACTCAAAAAGCTGGTGGACACCAAAAAGAGACAATATGCCTCTCTACAACAATACTCTCACATGCAATTGTAACTTCACCCATGGTGTATGCCATGTTGAGAGCATGTAGGCTCTCTCTCCCACTCTCTTTCTCTTTTGTAGAATTTGTTGGGTTCTTTTGTAATATAATTTTTTTTCCATGAGTATTTGTTCACTTTTGACTTTTTTCGATCAAAATTGGTAAATTTTGACTTGAAGTTAAATAAAAATGATATTAGACATTAATACAAAAATAGATTTATTAGATTTATTGTATCAAATATTTTCAAAATATTATTTTATCTAATTAATATACAATATATATGTTTTATTTAAATTATAGATCAATAGTTGAAAATAGTTGATCGAAAAAGTCAAAACTAGACAAATGTTCAGGGACGGAGGTAGTACATTTTTAAATTGTAGATCAACTTTCAGTTATAGTTTTTTGAAAACAACTTCAATAAGACATCGTAAACCAGAACAAGAACCTTATTTCGGGGGGGGGGGGGTCAAATAAATAATGTTTAACAATTATTTTATTTACATCATATTTTTCTAAATAATTATATATAATCTAAAATGTTTGCTTTCAAGTTTATAAAATTATATTTATAGTTTTTAAAATCATATTCTCATCCTACACAATTTAAAATATTTTTCCATATTTAATACTCCATCCGTCCGCATTTTGATTTACAATTTTTTTCTCTCCTCTCAATAACTTTTGTTTATTTACGCAATTTCATTAAGTATTTGATAAAATAAAATACCTTTTTCATCTCTTGTTTTGTAAAACTTTTGATGTAGTTTTTTAATATATAATTTTTATTTCTTATTAATATACCAATTTGTAAATAAAATAATTTTAAAAAGTGAGATATTTTTCCTCGTAACTCTAATTTATAATCAAATTCGGAACGGAGGGAATATATTTTTATTTTGAAAATGGACTAATTTGAGAAAAAAACACTAGTTACGAAATTACTATCTTTGTCCACTTCCCTTTTGGCACACCATCCAATGCACTTCTTTAATCCATTTTATCTTGTAATTTGTATATTAAAAAATTATAGAAATTATATATTAATAATCTATATGTTAAGACAAATCAAACAAAATCACACATGACTATATTTAGACTTACACATTGAAAGAATTTGATGAGTCAAAGTACTAAGATAAACAGTTCTAGGAGTCAAATGTGACAAATAAGGAGTGAGGGAGTAATTATTACGGAATACATAGTTAAGTTATTGAGTACATTTAGGATATTTTACTCAATTTTCGAATGTAATAAGAAGCTCTTTATAACTTGAAAATATGTTCGCAGGCCAAGATTTGGATGTGTTCTGATGTTAAAAAGTGTTTGAAATTTCACTTTGCTCTTATTCATGTGATGCATGCAGCGTTTTAAAGGGACAAGATCTGCAAGGAGTCCTTCCTCCTTCCCTGGCGAAGCTACCCTTCTTGAAGACCATGTACCAGACTCATTCTCTGCATTTATGCAACAATTTGTTCCCCAGATTTGAATTTATTTGCTTGATTCTTGGTCTTATTGTTTTTTTTTTGCAGCGATCTCACTCGAAACTACTTGAGTGGTACAATTCCCCCAGAATGGGCCTCTACCAAATTGGAGTATTTGTAAGTTAAATTATCATGCTTTCCTTTTCAGATCATCCCAACATAAACTTCATAACCTAATCACACAATTTTTCGCTTTTCAGTAATAAATGTTCCTAATTAGGAGCGAAACGTGGAAGTAGTACTTAAGTAGGAGCTCGATTCGTTTTATGCCTAAATACGAGTTGCATTGTAAACAATGACAAAGATTTGTTAATGTTGATGACAATTTTAGTACAGTGGCAATGTTTTACTCATATTTAGGTATCTAACCCAAACGAGTGTTTTGGAATAAAGCAAGTGTTGAACATGTTATATATATTGGGGATGCTGACGCCGGCCACTTCACGGATGGATGGTGTAGCACTGTCCATCTCTGGCTGGTGAATGGAAATGATACATTGTAGCTATCAATTAACTTGTTCATGGTAATTTAAAAGTGACACATTGGCAGGTCGGTGGTTGTCAATCGGCTGTCTGGACCGATTCCAAAGTTCTTGGGGAATATGACTGCTCTTGCGTATTTGTATGTTTCTTGCTCCCATTGACCTTATCTCGAAAATAGAAGCCAGCGATAGGGGACTTATTGTGTTTTGTCATGAACCAATGATTTTTTCCCCACCAGAAATTTAGAGAACAATATGTTCAATGGAACTGTCCCCCCTGAGCTTGGGAAGCTTGCCAATTTGCAGAATCTGTAAGCATTTTTAAATAAAATATCAGAATCTGCCCCATCTATCTCCTGCCTTATATGCAGATTGCTTTTTTCTTACTTGTTTGATGTGTTTTTTTATTACCCTCGGACAATGTAGCATTCTCGGTGCTAATAATCTCACTGGGGAATTGCCAAAAGAGCTTAATGCTCTTACAAACTTGACAGAGCTGTAAGTGCACCCTTGCAAATTTCATCGTTTCTTCTATGAGACTATGTTAATTTTTGACATTTGCCATCATCTCTTGGGAAATCAATGCAGAAGACTGAGCAGTAATATGTTCACTGGGAAATTGCCCAACTTTCAGAGCTGGAAAAGTCTTCAGCAATTGTGAGTACTCACATGTAGCTTTCTACATTTGATATTTTTGGATGGAATTGTTTTTTTTATTTGTCAAGAATAACTTGCAGAGAGCTTCAGGGAAGTGGTTTTGAAGGACCCATACCTTCAAGTATTTCTGTATTGACCGACATGGTTGAACTGTGAGAAAAGCTCTCCTTTAATGATTTAATTTCATACATGTTGTGATATCATAATTTTTTGGGTCATGCTACCGTCATACTGCGTATGACACCGCTTTCAATCGTTGTCTATGCACGATTGTCTCGGATGGTGTCAACCTTGGTGTCATTCCCGGAGTTCAAAGTATGATTTTCCTAGTTTTCTATAGTTTAAATTTGCCACATGAATCTGCAGTAGAATAAGTGACCTGAATGGCGGAGGTGCCTCCAGATTTCCAGCATTAAACAGCATGACTGGCATGAAAAAGTTGTGAGTAATGTATTTGGTTTCCAAATTATGAATTCTAGTTTCATAATTCCACTATGAAATGAAGTTCTTAATGCAAAATGCAACTTTTGGCCCAGGATGTTGAAGGGCTGTAATATCTTTGGGAGGATACCAGACTTAACTCACATGACGAACTTGCAATATCTGTAATTTTTTACACTTGATTTTTCTTTCTTTCCTTAGTGTTTCATTATTATATTTATGTTCCTTTGGGGGAAATTCTAGATTGCCACTTGAATAAATTTACATTTCAAGAATTTACTACTCCCTCCTTCCCAACACTAAAGTTTCACTTTCCTTATTTGGTGTCCCAAAATTTAAAGTCTCAATTTCATTTTTGGAATACCCAACTCACTTAAAATACTACTCCGTATAATACATCTACTTTTTTTCCACTCACCTTTTTCTACCAACCCCCGTTTCTTTCCCATCCTCATTAACCATTGGGCACTGATAGGTGCATCCGCTAAAATATTAAATACACCCCCATCAACTACATACATCCCGTGATGCATAATTATGTTGTTTTTTAAAAAAAGTTATATAAACTTTATAAATTTAAAAAAAAACATTATATATAAATTTTTAAAACTATCCACCATTTATTTCATTTTCTTATTTTTCAATTTTTTTATAAATTTTAATTTTATTTTAATACTTTGAAATATGTTATTGTAATTTCTCATTAATTGAAATTACTTTCTTTATTATTACATTCATCGACCATTACTTTTGTATAAAACTTTCCATTTCATGAATCAACTTGCTAGATGAAAAATATTGTGGCATTTTTTGGGATATCTAACAAGTGAAAATGTCATCTTGTCTAATAAAAATAAAATTTTCATTTTCCTTGACTCTTTGTTCATATTATTGTACTAACGAAAATCATGTTAATAAAAAGTTATTTATGGTGTTCCTGTTTTGTTCATAAGACCAAAATTTCATCTTCTACCATCTCAATTTATTAAAGACTACTTACTTTGATTGCGTATTCTTATTGTTAGTGATATGTGCTGTATTTCTCTGCTTGACCACTGTGATACAATATTGAGCTTGCAGAGATTTGAGTTTTAATAATATTGAAGGAGGGATTGATGGTCTTCAACGTCTTGAAAATGTCCAGTTCATGTGAGTGCAAATCAATTATGATTTAATGATTATGCATCAAAACTTTCTCCTGGTGCATTGTGCTCAAATTGAAAACTCACCATATTGTGTTTCTAATACTTCCATTTGGTGGTTATGACTTGGTTTCAGATCTCACATCTTTACTATTTACCCCTCTATATCTTTTCTTTATGAATCATGTATTGCTAAGACACATTAATGTCTTTCTTATTTCTTAGGTATCTGACGAATAACTCGCTTAGTGGGCCAATTCCTCAGTGGGCTTTAAATACAGATTCAAGACAGTAAGTACATTTATATAACCCTCAACCCAGCCCATAGAAAACAAAAGGGTCAGACATTACCAACATGACGCTTTTATTTATTTTGGCACGTACTTAGTGGATGATTTAACTTTGGTTCAACTAGTATCTTCCATACTAGAATTCATGTTTAAGAAATTTCAATGCCCAAATGTTTTAGCCACACCTAGAGCTTTTTTTTATTTATTGATTACAGTTAATATTTGTACACTTTCCAAGTTGGATCTTTGTTTAATGCACTAACATATTTTAAAAGCTTGTGTGCAGTGACATAGACCTTTCTTACAATAACTTTGAGGAGAGCTCTGTGCCATCAACCTGTCGAGAAACCTTGTAAGATTTTGCCATTTTTGTGCATGTAATGTTTCTTTTTAACAAAAATAATTTTAGCTGACTTTTGCATTGGCGCTAGAAACTTATTCAAAAGCTATCGCGGAGGAAATAATTTGTAAGTCTTAACATTTTCCAACACATCATGGTTGTTGCTACACACTAAATTTAGGTTAGCCTCTCAAGACTAAAAATCTTACTTACCTTATCTCTTTGTATAGAGAAGCTGGGAAGTGTCTAAGTCAATGTACTAAAGGTAAGCTCATATCTAAGTGATTTTGTCATGGTGCATCCAATTTCACTTGAACCAAAATCTATAGGGGGTTGTTTTGGTGATAATAATTTTAACGTGAGAAAGGAGATTGATGTATTTTTGGTTCATTTTTTTTCTTGATTTTCACTTATTGACAACCCTTAAATCTTTAATCTGATGGGTGAGTATGGGTCATATGCATTCTCATTTCTGTCATGGTTCATGCAGTCTCACTTGAACACACACACACACACGTGCGCACGCCCACACATTCATACATCCACACACATATAACACTTACACATATCATTTAGTTCTCTTTTCCATTCTTCTACAGATTGGTATTCATTCCACATTAATTGTGGTGGAGACAATGTGTTGATTGGTGATACCACATATGAAGCAGACGAAGATTCTGCAGGTTTTGCAAAATTTGTTCCTAACAGAGAGAATTGGGTAACCAGTACTACAGGGGTCTTTTGGGATAGAAATAAAACACTTTCTGACTATAAAGCAACAAACATATCCGTTATCAAGGGACAAGACTCTGAGCTCTACACAACGGCTCGGCTATCTCCTTTATCTCTCACTTACTATGGACGTTGTTTAGCTAATGGAAACTATACTGTGAAACTTCATTTTGCGGAGATAGTTCTGAGAGATAATAGCTCTTATCAGAGTCTTGGAAGGCGCATATTTGATGTATATATACAGGGTGAGAGGAAATTGAAAGACTTCAACATTAGAACTGCTGCGCAAGGTGTTGATAAAGCCTGGGTAGAACAATTTAAAGTACCTGTCAAAGATAAAACTCTAGAGGTGCGCTTTGAGTTTGCTGGGAAAGGAACAACAGCAGTCCCAAGTAGAGGATCATATGGTCCTTTAGTATCTGCCATTTCTGTGCAATCTGGTAAAATCAGTGTAAATTATTTGTCAAAGTATAACAATTAGGGTGAATAATACGGTATTTTTATGTATAGAATGTGTGTGTGCACAGTGTATTTATGATTTTATTTTGAAAAGGGTTAGTATTTAGCTACTCTTAACTAATTTTGCACATTAGTAGTTCATAGTTTCTGGTTGATTGCAGATACATAATGAAAAAACATATAACTCATTCTTGTGTCTCTTTGATAAATGTGCAGATTTCAAGCCTCCCAAGAAGAGAAAAGTTTTAATCATAGCCATTGCTGTACCTTCTTCTTTATTTCTTATTCTCACAATTATTTGTTTCACTTGGTGGAAAATGTGGATGCGAAAGAAGGCCTCACAAGGAGACGGTAATATACACTTTTTGGTCCAATTTCCGATTATAATTTCCAATTAGGAACACGGATTTTGTGTTAATTTTTACATTCACTCAAAGGAGATTATATTCCAGTACAATCCCAACTCCATCGGGGTCTGCTTACCCCTGTGAAAACAAAGAGTTTTTGGTTAGACCCTGGATGCATTGCTGCATTTACTACCCAAAACTTCATAGATACTAAGAAGCAAGGGAAGTTTAGTGTGCTTTTTTAGACCATTATGTGCACGAAACTTAAACATTGTAAATGATGACTCTTTTAGTCCATTTGTCTTGTAAACAGAAGTAAACTCACACTAAAGGATGACGTGAACCACTGAACAAAATAAATATTGTTGAAGATTTGCTCTATATAGTCAACCCCAAACGTTATTTTGATGCACTAATAATTTCTTAAAATTCGTTAAGATGCAGAATTAGAAGGTCTCGATCTACGAACTGGCACATTTACCTTCAAACAGATAAAAGCTGCAACAAACAACTTTGATCCAGAAAATAAGCTTGGGGAAGGTGGTTTCGGCTCTGTGTACAAGGTATAGAGAATAGACAAATTTCCATAATTTGTCAATTTGTTACTTCATTGATACTTCTTCGTGTTTTTTTGATGATCTTAGACTCTCCATTTCTACGAAAACTAGGGTATGCTATTGGATGGTACAGTTATTGCTGTGAAACAGCTTTCTTCCAAATCAAGACAAGGAAACCGTGAATTTTTAAATGAAATAGGCATGATTTCTTGTTTGCAACACCCTAATCTTGTTAAACTCTATGGGTGTTGTGTTGAGGGAAAGCAGCTGCTGTTGGTGTACGAGTACTTAGAAAACAACAGCCTTGCCCATGCTCTCTTTGGTAAATTTAAACCTTTATTTATTTTAACTGCTACTAATAATAATCCAATCAAACCAACAAAACTATTCAACTCCCCTACCCAATGTAAGATATAGGCCTTGTTTGGGAATAGCGTTTTCAATTAGCGTTAGCATTTTGGATTATTTCTTAATGATGCAGATTAACTTTAAAAATGCTAAAGCTAAAGGAAGCCATTAGATAACCTTTTCAAAATGCTAAAGCTAAATGTTGAAGCTCTTAGCTTACCACTGCTCAGAAGTTGTAAGATAGAATACTAGAAAAGTGAAAAATTCAGATGTGAATATGGAGTAGTTTATTTTAGATAAGTGTCAAGATAAACATTGGTATTATGAGGTAAAAGCTAATTACAGGTCCAGAAGGGGAGCAATTGAAAATAGACTGGCCTACCAGACAGAGAATCTGTGTTGGTATTGCAAAAGGTTTATCTTTCTTACACGAAGAATCAACATTGAAAATCGTTCATCGAGATATCAAAGCCTCAAATGTTCTTCTAGACAAAGACCTCAAACCCAAAATTTCTGATTTTGGTCTTGCTAAACTTGACGATGATGGAGATACCCACATCAGCACCAGAGTTGCAGGGACTATGTAAGTCGTGATTATTATCTTGTCCGTTTTTTAACTAAACCCCTTTATTTTATTTGACTTTCAAGTTGGCTGTGAATAGATTGCGTGATTCTTGGATTTGTGATGTGTAACCTATGTTATATTTCATCTTATAATTAAAAGGTTACTCCATACATGTTCTTGACAGAGGATACATGGCTCCTGAATATGCAATGTGGGGTCACTTGACATACAAAGCCGATGTCTATAGTTTTGGTGTGGTTGCACTGGAAATCGTTGCCGGGAAAAACAACATGAAGTATCGTCCCGATGAAAACTATGTTTGCCTCCTTGATTGGGTGAGTATTTAACTATTTATACCCTTCTCTCACTACGGTCATGGTTAGTTGAAATCCTCTCCTAAACCGCCTCTCTACTATTTGCAATAGAGATAATTTGGTTTGCACTTGTTGTTATGTGTATTATATGCTCTATGCTCTCTGCTTTTATGTGTCTTCTATACAGTTTATACTGTGCTACTTGAGTTGGGGGTCTCTTGGAAACAGCCTCCCTACTTTCGAGTAGGAGCAATGTCTGCGTACATACACCCTCCCCAGACCCTACTCTCGCGGGATTCAACTAGGTTGTATAATTTGGTTTCATTTAGCATTTTGAAGAAGCTATCCAATGGTAGCTTTTAGCATTAGTGTTTTCAATGTTAATCTACCATTAAAAATTTATCTACATACGCAAACGCTAATCGCAAGTGTTGTTACAAAACAAAGCCAAAGAGTAAGTATATATTGCCCCTAGACCCTACTCTAGGTTGGGATATATTGTGTTTGTTTGGTTTGGCCATATTCGTTCTTGCTAAAACTCAATGAATCCTTTGTTGCGTATTTTCAGGCACACGTTGTTCGTAGAAAAGGAAACCTTATGGATATAGTAGATTCAAGTTTGGGTTCCAATTTCAACAAAGAAGAAGCAATTAGAATGATCAAAGTAGCCCTGTTATGTACCAATTCTTCTCCGGTCCTGAGGCCATCCATGTCAGCAGTAGTGAGCATGCTTGAAGGTCGCGCCGATATTCGCGAGCACAGCTCTGACCTGTTGTCTATGGATGCGAATGAATTCGGCTTTCGAGCTTTTCGACAAACGCACGATGAAATGCCAAGTGATTCTTCGAACGGAGTAGATTTTTCTTCAAATGCAAACTAGTAATGAAGTGTCATCCAAACAAAGTTGTGCTTCTGAAAGACCAAGCTCCCAAGCCAATGTGTATTTTCCACATTTCACTAGTGTAAGATTTTGACAATTTTTTGAAAAATACAATCTATGGTATTTGGTAGGTACATGCCTTTGCTTTGTTGCTTATTGCTTTTGGGCAGACTTGAAAAATTCTCCCTTAAACTTCATGAGCCCAAATTTTCAATTGTATGTAATTTAAATAATCGCCGACAATTCCAAATTAAGATATTGTCTAATACATCGAAATAGAAAGCAAACGTGCAACAAATTGCATCGTCAGCTCAAATTGTGTATGTGTTAGCAAAGAAATAAGCATGGCTACGCCCTCAAAGGATTATCAAGTCGAACATGAAAAATTTATGTTTTTCATTATCTTGAAACTCTGGAGGTAATTTAGTTTTTCCTTTGAATTCTCATTACATTTGCAATTTCTAAAGAAAAAATCACTAACAAAATGTGTGTCAAAAAATAGTTAAAGAGTAAATAATGAGTATGTATATGATTAAGAAATTTGTTCTAGTAAAAAATACGTTTTTTTACAAGTTTTAATATACTTTGGTTTAAAACAATTCCGTTCTGTTTTCAAAGTCCAAAACTGAAACAAAATAAAAAACTATTTGGTTCGATTTTTATTTTTTCGGTTCCACTTATTTTTTGTCAAAATTTGTTCAATTTTGATTGGTTTTAACAATTGAAGGGGGTGGGGCAGGCTTCTTGAACCTAAGAATTTGCTTGAAACGTATTATCCCTCTGATCCTTTTCTTTTTCCTAAATCAATTCTCTCCGATTGGAGCTCAACTAAACGCAGTTGAGATGGAGCCGGAAGTTATGGAAGCAGAGATAGTGCTACCGAATCGAATGAAGTTCAAGAGAATTCAAATGGCGGATAAGTACCCCAAAGGCCAAGCCAGAGGCAGGCACTGGAAACATCTCAAGCAGATTCTTCAAGCCGAAAATTACCAAAATTGCGCTCCTAATGAACCGACTTGTAAGCTTCATCGCCTTCACTGCAATTCTTCTTCTTTTCTTCCTGATTTTGTTCGCGAAACTATTTCTTTCTTCTCTGGTTGTGATCTGGTATCCGTTAGTTTTCTGATTCAACAGATGAAATTACTGTACTTTGGAATTAATTCTTTGTTATTTCTGTATCGTATGCAAATTTGGTGTTTATTGGTACTTGAAAAGAAATGTCTTTTGGGAATTAGTGTGGATTCCATGTTAGCCTTTGAAGTGGCTCTGATTCAGAATTCATTTCTGCAGGAACAGATTTCGTATTGAGATGTGACATTGTTATGTAGCTATGTTCACATTTTTTGGGTCTTGTGTTATCTGTTTTCATGGCTATTCTGTTTATTTCATGCAATGTATTCTTCATTTAAGGCCCACTCTTTTGTAACTTTTTTTCAGTTCCCATATCAATTAAAACTAAAATATTCAACTTTCAATTCAGTTCAGCACTTTTCACTTAAATTTAGTTAAGTTAATATGAGTTGAAAAGAACATACCCTTAGTCAGCATCTAGTTTTTCTTGTTTATACATGTGGGTTTGTTTAACGCAATATTGAAAAAACTGCAATAGTTCTTTTGACACTAGTTTTGCATGTCATATTATGACATCGGCGCACTACGGTACTTTGTTAGGCCCCAAAGTGGGTCCTATCCCCCAAACCCCCCACTGCCCCTAATCCCCTCCACCCTGATAGTCAAAATGCTACAATGACACTAGCGCTGCTGTGATCAGGGGAGGGGGGGGGGTTGTGGAGGGGGTAGGATCCACTTAAGGGCCAACCAAGCACTGTAGGGCCCTCAAATGTGTCGTTGTCATATTATGACGCCCACGGTGGGTGTCATATGATCCTTTCCCATACATAAATTTTTTTGCCCATTAGCTTATTAGGAAACCGAAACTCATTGTTGCATTTGAATTATAAAATGTTATAAGCTACATTTCAAATACAATTCTTTATGTGGGAGGTATAAGATGCAATATAATTAGAATTTTCTATAAACAACAGTGTGTCTCAAAAAAAAAAAAAAAAAAAAAAAAACAGTGTGTCTAGTTATAGCTTAATTTGTAATGGCAGTATGTCCTATTGTTATACAGTGATCTCTTGTATCTTACATTGGATCCCGTTTTAGATATCCTTTTTAATGTTGTACTTGCACCCTTTTCTATAATTTGCAGATGTCAGTATTGAATCTCCTCCTCCAATGCATCCTTGCAAAAAGATATGTGATATAACAGGATTTGAGGTATCTGTCAGCATTGTTGAATTTGATTTTTTATTGGTATATCTTTGACATTGTTTCAGAGTAATTTTCTGTCTCACTGAACTACTTGGCCTATCTTATCCAATAAATATAAAGAAACACAAAAAAGAAAAAAAAAACTTTCTTTCTTGTCCCTTCCCTCCCTTGTTTGTGGCCAACCATCATCATTTCATTATCACCACCAGCCCCTTAAACCAAACTACATGGGGTCGGTGGCTCTAAAATTATGTCGCTATTCAACTGTGTAAAATTAATTAACATTATGCATCCACACAATAAACAGTGGCAGTGTTTTACGCCAGATGACCTTCATGCAGCAACCTTCATAAAAATGAATAATAAGATGGAAATTCTAAAATCATCATCATCATAGGTTACTTTGACGTGCATGGAAATATCATAAGATTGCAATTTGTGCATCCATGTATAATTTAAAAGAAAAAAGAAATGAAGTCCTAGTTAATGAATGCCTGATTAAGAAAGTGAGACCATTAAACAGTTTTTGCTCTCACCACCAGTCGACCACTAGTTGCTAGTAGGCTAGTAGCCCTATGAATCCCTAAGAACTGTTGCATATTTCTTTTGAAGAGTTCATTCTTATTAATGTAGGCATGTAGCTAATGAGTTTACATGCTTGATGATATAGCTTGGCTCTTGAGCTATTGCAATGTGGTTTATGCCCTTTAATCCTCTTTCTGCTTCTCTTTGGCCCAAGTGGAGTGTGCAGACTAGTGAATGTTGTCTTATCATGAGAACGAGATAATCATCTGCATACTGAACTGTCTTGAACTGTTCATGGAAATTATAATCAAATTTATTTTTTTCATTTTTTTCATCATCGTCATCACCCCCACCACCCACACCACCACCATTACCGTTAAAACAGAAATAACATAATTCATGGTTTTTTCCGAATGTCTCTTACGTTCTTTACGCATAGTTTCCCCGCTAGTGAACTACTCTCTCTATTCCTATTTATCAATCTATGCTGACCAACTTTCCTCATTCCTTTCTTGATGTCTATTTATGATATTTACGCACATCAATAATTCCCCCCTTGAAATTACCCTATTCCCCAAGAGATATACATAAATTGGAAATTGGCTTTTATTAATATTCAACAAGCACATTTTAGATAAAGTGTAAAAAGTTATCGATCAATCTATCAACACCAATGCGATGGAGCCAAAATTTCACCATTTTTTGGCTTTGGGGTGTGATGGAATAATTCAAAATGGATCTCTAAACTGTCTGCACTTCTTTAATTAATGAAGTAGCAGTTAGTCAAGTAATGCAACTTTCGACGTTGAGCCGGGGGTCTCTTTGGAAATAGCCTCTCTACTTTCGAGTAGGGGTAAGGCCTGCGTACACACACCCTCCCCAGACCCTACTCTTGTGGGATTTAAATGGATTGTTGTTGTTGTTGCTATCAACACCAATGCCTTTTCGTAAACTCCATGATTCGATCAACTAGGCGTTGGCCCTCAATTTGCCAAGTACCCATCGTCGTGTATAATGTTGTTAAATCGTTACGGATGACTGTTAGAGTTTTTTTTTTTTTTTTTGTTCTTCTTGTGCAGGCTCCTTATTATGATCCCAGGACCAATCTCCGCTATGCTAATACAGAAGTGTTCAAGATGATAAGAGCACTCCCCAATGACTATGTTCAGAGGTATCTCGCTCTTAGAAATGCTGCTGTAGTCTTGAGGTAGTTTTTACCAATCACATGACATTATTATCTGCATTGATTCACAAACTGTCTTGTGGAAAAACTTCATCTCTGTGTATAGTTTAGATTATTCGAATATCCACTATCTATATAGCTTTAATTAATGAGTAGATTATTAGATGTATTAATGATGGAAACTGTCTATGCGAAAAAAAATCTTGTTGTCATAAGAATTGCAGTGTTCACTTATGACAGAGTGGATATCAACTTGAACCGAAAAAAGAATAGAAAATGAGATGGAAAACAATTTTTTCTGGGTTGATTAGAAAGGAAGAGCAAAGAAAAGTGGAAGAAAAAGAAAATGAGAAAGAAAAATAGACTATGAGGAGGGAAAACAAAAATCCTCCTATTTTGACGAGGAAAAATGACTGAAAATGATTTTCTTTTTCTTCCTAATCCCTTAAACCAGACATAGTGTAAAGAAAAAAAGAATTGCAGTGTTCGTGAGCTCATAAATTGAATCACGAAGCAGTTCTAGCCTTCTAGGGAAGACAATATTCCAAAAAAAAAAAAGGATTTTCTCGGGTGAAGTTTAGGGGCACTTTTCAAAATGGTGTAAAAGACATGATCTTTATGTTACGAACCTGGCTCATGTCTCAGTTGGTATTGTTTTGAAATAACTGGATTCATATCCGTGCATTTGCATGGTCGAAAATTTATATAAAATAAGGATAACATGTTCAACAACAACTTGGTTGGATCTCACAAGAGTAGGGTGTGTGTATGCAGACCTTGTTCCTAGACTTGGCAAAACAGATTTGAAACTAATTACCTGAATCGAATAATTCAAAACTGAAGCCGAAATAATTTGAAAAGTGAAGGTTGTGAAGATCCGATTCAAAATTGAAAACACGAAATGATCCGAATTGAATCGAAATCAAACTAAATATATCCTTATCCGATTTAAATTCGAAACTGATGAGATCCGAAACTGGTTTAATCTAAAATCGATAAGATCCGAAAATGATAAGATTTAAAACTGATTAAATTCAAAATTGATTATATCCGAAATCGATTCTGCCTGATAATAAACATATTATATTTCAGAGTAAATTTCCAAAATGGTACGGAGTAATAAATAATTATGTGTTTTCTTAAATTAGTTTCCAAAATTAACTAATTTCCAAGATAGCACTCGTTAATTGATCTCACTTGAACAATGTCAATTTTGTTGGGGAAATCGAAGATAACACAGATTCGTGAGAGTCGTGATAACACTTTCAGATTATTATTTGGGCGATCACTCCAAAATCAATCGGATAAAACTCAAACTTTTTTGATCAAGAACAAATATGTGGTATGATAAATTTTTTGAACTTTCACATTTATTTTCAATCATGCTCATCGCGGATTTTAGAGAAGCGGAGAAGAAAGATACAGTCGCATCGCATTTCTTATCATTCGCGTCTAGTCTCGCGAAACCAGAAGTGGCTGCCCCCGAACCCTTGTCAAGGGGTGCAGCCTCTTGGAACTTCCGTTAAAACGAGACTTTTATCATAACAAATGCAATGAAGCGTGTACTTCACATCAACCAAACTTCTTTGATGATTATTATGATACCATTAGTCAAATAGTTCTTCCAATTACACTAAAATATATAACAAATTGGATATTGAACAGTGATACTATATTGGAAAATTAAAACACATGTTATTACATTGGGAAACTCACTATATTTTAATATTATATCTATAAATTCCCCTAACACTGTGTTTGATTCAAGGAATTTGAAATGAAAAAGAAAAGAAAATGAGATGGAAAATAGTATTTCTTGTTTGGATATAGAGGAAAAGAAAAGAAAAGTAGAAGTAAAATGAAATGAGAAGACAAAAATACTAACACTATATTTGGTTCAAGGAATTTGGAAAAAAAAAAGAAAATGATTTTCTTTCATTTTTCTCATCAAAATGGGAGAAATCTGGATTTCCCTCCACTTAGTACATTTTGTCTTCTCATTTGTTTTTCTTCCACTTTTTCTTCTCTAACCAAACAAGAAAAACTCTTTTTCACTTTATTTTTTTTCTTGTCCCGTTAAATTCTTTGAACCAAACATAGTGTAAGAGGAGGAAAAATCAAATTTCTTTCATTTTGGTGTGGAAAATGAGAAAAAAAACATTTTCCAAAAATGTAAATGTTTTAATGAGCTCTGTTTCTTTGATTTTTGATAGAATCTCTCAATCTCCCAATTCTTACCCTGCAAACTAATAGGAAATGGGTCAGACAATCTATGTGCAGTCGAAGCTGAGAATTTACCGGAGGATTCCATTGCCCCATAGACTTCATCTTCCTCCTCCTCAGCTCTCTGGTTAATGGAAAATGCCCTCAGCTTGTCACAAATGGCTTCCGGAAGGAGGCCCTCAAGAATCGCCCAATTCCAACCCCCGATGGAATATTTATTAATGGTCAGTCTAGTAGTCTTTCATCATTTGACCAGGAAAAAAAAAGTTTTTTTTTGGGAGTATAATTTTGAAAGACACCTGTTAATTTCAGTTAAAATTAAAGCCCAAAACCCGACCTCCACCGTCTCTCGCTTCCGGAGCTCCGACCGGCGATCTCCCCGGAACCGACCATCTAGCGTTTCCCATGGCATCCATCGACGAGAAGAAGGACGCCTACTCCGTCTGGGGCCTCCCGCCGCCGGACGTGTCCGAAAGGATCAAGAAGCTCATGGAGGGCATCCGATCGGAGTTCGGCGGGCCCCGATTCGAGCCCCACGTGACCGTCGTCGGAGATATCAGGCTGACGGAGAGCGAGGCACGCGACAAATTCCGGCAGGCCTGCGAGGGACTCCAGCCGTACGGCGCCGCTGTCTCGAAGGTGGCCACTGGACCGTCCTTTTACCAGTGCGTTTTTCTCCTGCTTCATCCCACACCAGAGGTACAATGCATACCTTTTGTTCTTCACTTCTTCTATTGAATATTGATTGATTCACAAAATACAGTAATTTCTCCATTGTTTAGGGTTTCTTAGCTTTGCTTGTTTAAGATCAAATATTGTGAATTTTTTAAAAAAAAAAAACAAATTTCATCCAATAATTTTTTATGATGACTACTGACAAATGCACAATTACCAATGTGAATAAATGATGTGTCCTAATTTTGAATTGTTTAGGGATTTGGCATTTTTTAGGGATGGATGGAGTATATAATTTAAATTGCAGGGAGTAACGTTTTGGAAGCAAATTGGGGTAAATAACTTTTGAGTAAACTCTATAAACGGTCCTTTATAACAATGGGTTTTCCGCATATAAGTCCTCTGCCCTAAACTTTTCTGTTCTCGATCCTCTGACTTTGAGAAATATTTCATGATGACAAGTTCATTTGTAGTTACATGTGGGAAAAAAATATTTGGGAATTTTCCTCCCAAAGGACTGATTACAGAATAGTTCTAGAGAATTATATGTGGAAAACCTCATGTTATAAAAGACTGTTTATAGAATTCACACATAACTCCTTTAGATGGTTTCGCGCATCCAATTCAGCTATTTCAATCACAAGTTCGACGAACTCAGTAGATTCAACCAATTCAATCGCTCTAGAGCAGTGCTATTTTGTCGGTGAGGTTGCCTCCAACAGGAGCACAGACACAACAGGATAGAAAGAGGTTTCTTTTGTCACCAAAACTGGAGGGAGCTCCCCATTCTTCCATTCTGTGTCCCCTTCCTCTCTTCAAACCAAACACACACAGTCTTACTTTATGGATAGGATGAAAAGTTATAAAACTCTCCCATTTACCATCCAAATGGTGGTTTACTTTTATTAAAAATTGCATAAATAAACGTGAAATCACAAATTATGATACTTCCCCTGCCCGGATTTAGTTTACCACATTCGTGGTTTTGTGCGTCCTGATTTGGTTTTCAACTTTCCACATTTAGTAAACAAATTATGATAGGTAATCTAAAATGTGCGGCCTCTGGATTGCATATTAGCATTGTTGACATTAATGAATGACAAACTCAGTGAGTACGGAGTATTTGATATTTTTACACGCACTCCTTAAAATAAGATTTTTTAGAAAGTTAACAACTAAATCCAAATAGTGAGAGAATGATTTTCTTTTTTTTAAAAAAAGGAAGGAAACAATGACTTATAGGTGTGCCTTTCAGGTTGTGGAGGCTAGTGACCATTGCTGCAGACACTTTGGTTATGTGAGACCATCAGGTAAGTAAGAAGCATATATAATATTATTTATATATATATATATATATATATATATATATATTCTTATATAAGGGTCACCCCTATCCCCATCCCAATGCAAAAAATCAATTCTAGATATCATCATTTGCAGCATACATGCCACACCTAAGTCTCCTTTATGCCGATATCACGGACGAGGAAAAGAAGAGGGTTGAAGAAAGAGTGTATGCTCTTGATGAGACCATTGGCAACTTGGAGTTCCCCATAGCTCGCGTGGCTCTTTACAAATCGGACACACAAGACAAAAGCCTCAAATCCTGGGCGAAGGTTGACGAGTTTGTTTTGCACCAGATTTCTTGATAACAAATGCCATCCTTGTTTGTGTGATATATCAAGTCTGTTTTAGATTTTCTTTTTCCTCTCTTTTTATCTGTTCTTGATGGTCAGAGCATGTGTGTAAAGGTGCACTTGACCTTGCTTTGATGGAGTCGAGTCCCTAGTTGAAAGTTTAATTACTAAAACAATGTGGCATATGTGTAAGAGTTTGTTCTCTTCAACATATTCCTATTACTTATTTTTTTATATTGCTTATTACTTATTCTTATTGGAATCAGATAAGATTAAAAATAATTTTATATGTAAATATAACAGATCAGATGAGACTAAATCAGAACTAATCACATTAGGTGAAGAGGGCAAGCCCTAAGTGTTGAGCATTCTTTGCATTAATGGGTTGTGTGTAGATTTTATTATACAATGAGGGATGCAGTTTGGATTCCTAAACAATCACTATTACTGAACAATCACTATTTCTGATATCTAAACTAAAACCCAAGATGAGGGATGCAGTTTGGATTCCTAAACAATCACTATTTTTGATATTTATGATTTAATAACAAATTAATTTTGGGAGAAGAATTGTAATTTTTGTTTACTCCAATATCTAAATTTTCCAAGGGATGTAATGAGTCCCACATTAGATAGTCTCTCCCTTGGGAAAAGGCTTTATAAGGCCTTGAGCTCTCCCACCCTAGTACCTAATTTTTGGAGTGTGACTCTCCTTTAAAGGCTTATTTATTTACACGTTACCCAAAAAAGGAAAAAAAAAGGTACACTGCCCCTTGCTCAAGGCATAATTCAAGTTGTCAATATAAGATATAAAAGGACTTTGTGGTCGGATTCAACACTTGAAGAAGACAGTGTGAGACGTTTATGCTTTGCATAAAGTCCTTGTTTGGATCAAGGACAAATCTCATTTCCACTTCCAATTGAGAAAATTTCATTTGCCTCAATAACTTTTCAGAATGGGTTTGAGAGGACCCTACGATAGAGTTCATCTTTTTTTAAAAATTGATGCATCCTCAATCTCAAATTAAATTGCTTGTTACGATTTACAATATCTGACATAAATAATTTTTAATTTAATTAAATTGAAAATTGACATAGAATAAATTGTTTTTATATGCTCCTTATTTAAAAACTACAAAGCACATCACATGCTCTACAAAACAAGGTGAAATGGCTATAATATTTCATCAAACGAGTAACAAAAATTCATATTAAAAAAATAAAGTTTGACCTTATAGTAAACACGTAGTAATATAAATTAGGACAAAGGAGGGCATTAAAGTTGCACTAAAAGAAGCACAAAACCTTGAAGGTTTCACCAAGGCCCCAAAACACCCAAAAGATTCACTCCATTTATAAAACACACAACACACAAACCAACATGAAAATTTTAACCAGAAGCTAAACTGGCTGCTAGAAGAAGCAATCTGCTTCTCAACAACACAAAGACATTCACTTGAACTGGGCTACTATATAGTTTCTGTAACACCATCCACTTCTCTTAGTACAGGTAATAGTAGTAGTAATTATTCTTTCATGACTTTTCTATCTAGTCTATGACATTATAAAATTTCTGAACCATCAAAACCCACCTGCCCGAGATGCTTTTCTAGACCATCTTCTCTACTGCATCAAAAAAATATAAGATTCATTCACACACAGTTAGTAAATAGAAATAGAAGATTAATTATGAGAGATTCTAGTGACANCATGTTTGGAACAACTTATGATATAAGTGTGCTTTTATCATAATTGCTTTTCCATTTAAGCACATGAAGTGTTACCCTGAAAGAGCACCCATATAAGAAAATAACTTTCATTTCAGGTTTTAGATGAAAGGTTTAAATGGGTTTAGTGATCATTGAGATTAATGTGGATCCACTCTAAGCTGGTTGTAAATCGAGTTGTACTTCCAAAAAATGTGGCGCTTTGTTAAATAAAGTCTGTACCTTTGCCCAAGTTACAAAGAGTGTTTTTATATATGGGAAGAGTGAGCCACTAAACCATGACGATTGGATTATGGCATACTGAACTTTTAATACAGGTGAGCCACTAAACCTGTAAACAATGACGAATGGATAATGACACTAAAATTTCAAAGCATCTACCTCTTAAGAGTTAAGGGATATCAAGTTTGAGGGTTTGACCTCCAGCTGCCTCGCCTTGGGTACACAACAATGCCCAGATGCTTAAATGTTAAGAAGACCACCTTCCGAAATGGACACTATTCCTTCTTGCTTGATAAATTTCCTAACTTCTAAAACCTCACTTCCCAAATTTGGAAGGTTTTAGGGAGTTAGTTTTTCTGTTAATTTATTTCTGGTATACCCCTAAACTGTTCTACGTCATTTTTCATTTTCCAGGCATACTACTCCTGCCCAAAGAACTTCACATTTTGACTTCATGGAGTTCACAAAAACTCAAAAATTGTGGAAAAGTAAAAAATGAGTGGTTAAAATTTGTTAAGAAGAAAGAGAAATGTCGTGACCCACATATTCATTTCCTTGGAATGGGGAAGTCTAAGACAGAAATGGAAATGCGCAAAGTTTAGTTTGGGACGGATGAAGTGATATTTTTTAATTACGATAACAATAATAACAAATATTTTCCCGTCATCTCTTATGGAGCCAAAAATTCACTCTTTTTTGGCTTTGGGATGTGATGGAATAAAGCAAAACGGATCTCTAAATTGTTTGCGCTTCTTTAATGAATGAATTATGCAACTTTCAACGTTGAGCCGGTTTTTTTTGGAAACAACCTCTCGACTTTTGAGTAGGGGTAAGGTCTGCGTACACACACCCTACCCAGACCCTACTCTTGTAGGATTCAACTGGGTTGTTGTATTATATACGGAGTATAATAATATCAAATACAACTCTTTAACATATTTTTCCAAAATACCAATTCCTATCAACTCCATTGAACCAAACAATTTTTTTTAACAACCTCCATTTTCCTCATCCATTTAAGAGCAGGAAAATTCCCTCTCAAGCAGTGTCAAAGACTAAGACGGTGGCAAAGTTATTGTTAGCAAATAATGAGCAGTAAATAAGTCACTAAAAAATTCAGAGTTTTAAAATTAAAACAAAATAAATTACACAGACACACACATGCACGGAGTATATATATGTATATTTATTTATTTATGTGTGTGTGTGTGTGTATACTCCCTCCGTCCATTATTAATCTTCTCGCTTTGACTTGGATCGCAAATTAAGGAAATGGAGTCTTGATTCAGAAGAAGAGATAGAGTCCCGGTTTTGGCAAAATCCAATTTTGATTTAGGAAAAATGTCAATTTTGGAGAAGATGAAATTAAAATCTGAAGAAATAAAGTACCAATTTAGGCAGAGAGGCTAGAGGGGAAACTCCCGATTTAGAAGACGGAGGCGGGAGTCTCCATTTCGGCAAAGATGTGAAGTCCTAATTTAGGCAAAGAGAATGAAGATGAAGGGGGAGGCTGGAGGCAGCAGTGCTGATGGAGAGAACGAGGTTGGAGGCAGCAGCAACGAAAGAGGCTGGAGGAGGTGGCAATGAAGGAGGCCGACAATAGTGAAGGTGAGGCATAGATTGATGGAGTTGAAGTAAAGAAGTATGGGTACATGGGAAGGACAAATATGACTTTTACTCTAAAATTGCTTACCAAAAAAGGAAATGGGAAGATAATTTGTGGACGGACAAAAAAGGAAAGTGGGAAGATTATTTATGGATGGAGGGAGTGTGTGTGTGTGTGTGTGTAGAAAGCATAATCAGATTTCTAGTTCATAGAGAGCATATATGAATCTTACCTGAAATCATCTATTAGATCCTTTGAACAGCTCAAACAGGCCACAGCAACCCTTCCATGATGTTTGCACTGGTCGTATAGCTAAACCATTTTGGTGCTACAAAGTTTCAAAAGAAAGAAACTTTAGGAGAAAATTATGAACTTCCATCTCTAAACTAGAGAAACCCTTGGGCTCTTTTTGATGGCAGGATAATAACAATGTCTTAGAAATTGTTTTCCGAGGAAAATTTTTCTGTTTTCCAGAAAAAAAAAACCTAGTTCTGTGCATAATATACCATCTGAGTTACAAAAATATAGAACATTAAAGAAAAATTGGACCTATTTTCAAAACAGGAAGTCATTTTCCCAAAAAAAACAGAGCCTTGGCACAAAGTTGAACACTAAGAAAGTTAAAATTAGAGGACCTGACTATCAGCGCTTTCAGAAAGCTTAGAATCTGTAAGAGGATCAGCTTCTACACTAGCTTCGATTTTGGGGGCACTGTATGATAGGGTTAGTGTATCTCCCTCTTCCTGAGTGGCAGAGTCCTCCGGTTCTGATATTCTAGAAGAGTCCTCCGGTTCTGATATTCTAGCTTCATTAACATTGGATGTCCCAAAAACTTCATCCTCCTTTCGTCCAACTTCCATGCTGTCATGAACTTCCGGAACATCAGCTGATGGAGTAACTTCCTCCAAATTTACTTCGGTAGAAAAGTCTGTTAATGTTTTTGCATCATCCTGTTGCGATGATGTCTGAACAAGTTCATCCTCCTTCTCCATTGTCACTAGAGCTTCTGATAGAGAACCACTATTATCAACTACACCCATGTTTTCGTCCCCATTTTCCATAAGCCCCAACCCATCACTCTTTTCAACCTCTACATTTTCAGACGTTGCAGCCTTGTCCAAGTCAGTCGTAAAGACTGCTACCTCACCCATACCTTTACCAGCAAATAGCAAATCAACTTCTTTCACTAGATCAACTACGGGAGTGTCGTTTACCACAATATTATCCTTATTGAAGACATTTGGTCCATCTTTTAAGTTGCTCTTGCTACAGCTACTAAAGCTCCTTAATAAGCTTCCATCGTGAGATTCTTTCGGGGTTTCGAAGACCTCAATGCCAATATCCATGCTCTGGAATTCATCTTCAGCCTTTAAGTTCCTCTCTGCATTAAGATCACTTTTCTGTTCAGTAGTCACTTTCTCCAATCCGCCGCCTCCATTTGTCATCTCTTCGGATTTGCTCTCATGACTTGTTGATGGCTGATCACACGAACCATCACCTTCTTGCTTATCAGCCTCTTCCTCCTCTTGATCAATTAAATCGTTGCAGTTATGGTACTCTTGAGATGTAGGTGAACTAGCATCCCCTCCATCACTGTCCTTGTCGTATGTATGCTCTAAATCCTCTTCCCCTGACATAGCTTAATTCACCAAGAGGATTTAAAGGCAGAATTGAAAAGAAAGAACAAAAAAACATGAAACCAAGCAATATATTCACTAAGTCAAAAATAAGAGTGCAAACTCAACATGCACGCTCATCATGAACATCAGTAGCATTAAAGTTACAGTTCCAATTTAATTGTACAAAATTATTTAAGACTGTATTCATGCAAATAGCACAGAGCCAATGTTTTATGCCAGAAGACTTCTTATGAAGGACTAATGAGATAAAGAATAATTAAAACGTCATCATCATAGGTCATTTGCAAAGATACATACTCCATGAGCAAAATCAAAACCGAAATGAATTGTGAGTTTGTGACATCAAAAAACAACAAGAATTGCTTCAAAATGCATGTTTCTTTCAGCAAACCCATTACAATTAATAAAAATAAAACAATCACAAAGAGATGCATGCAGAAATACAAATCAAAACAATGGGCACACAATACAACATCTTTCAAAGCTTACAATAAGGTCAAACCAAATCTCATTTTCAGCAATAAAAACAGCAAGATTTAAGAAAAACAACACAAATGAAAAAACACCCACAAATCTGATTCAACCCAGACAAGAGAAACAGATTGAAATGAAACCCATACTGCAAACAGCTCCTATAAACAACAAAAACCTAATCTTTACACAAATAAACAAAACCCATTTGCCTCTTTACCCAATAGAGAGTACAGACTATAGAGAGAGACTACCATGAGAATGAAGCTGTGTCGATTGGGGCGCCCCCTTAACCTGCAAACCCTTCTTTTTCTTGGCGGCTTTTCGCTTCTTTGCGCCTGAAGGCATGGCGATTCTATGAAGATTCTTTGACGCTAGATTAATTCTTCAATCGACCAGGGATGATGGGCTATCGATAAATCTTCCCTTCCGCTCTCAAGATTCAAAAAAAGAAAGAAAGAAACTCTGTAGATTTTGGTTCTGCGTTTGGAAATTTGAAATTGTGGAGAGGCTAGAAGGGTCCGGCGCACAGAAAATAATCATAAAAAGTTGTCATTTTTGGTGTAAGCTAATCAGGTCGGCAAAATCCGGGTCCGTTGGTATACGGACATAAATTTACATTAAATCTCAACCTGACATATTTATTGTGACGTTATAATATTAATTGAGCACACTGCTAGAGAATAGAGAGAGCTCCATCCCTGCACCCACTTTTGTACCTCTTCCATTTCCGCGCAATTACAATATGACCCCAGATTTAAATATGTGCACGCATGAGTGCATTATTAAATTTCTTTATGCTTATTATTTATTCTTATTAAAATTAGATTAGATCACATTTAATTATATCAAAAGTAAAAAAATTATAAAATAATACTCCTTCCGTCTGGAAATGTTTTTCCCGTGTTGACTTGGCACGCTTATTAAGAAATAGTAAAAAAAATGCAAAATTTTTAAAAATGCATACTATAAACTTTTAAATCTTCTTTTATTATTAAAAAAGTAGATTTGTGATAAAATAGAAGGGTATTATTGATATTTAGCCTTAAAAAGTATACTAAAAAAGGAAATGGGAAGAATATTTCCGGACGAACCAAAAACGAAAATGGGAAGAATATTTCCGGACGGAGGGAGTATAATTTTTTTTCTAGGGCTGTATTTATATATGATTTTTTTAAGAATACTACAGAGTATATATTATAGTTACATACAACTAAATAGTACTCCTTCTCTCTCAGAGTATTTGTCCACTTTCATTTTTACACACCGTCTAATGCACTTCTTTAATCCATTTTATCTTGTAATTTGTATATTAAAAAATTATAGAAATTATATATCAATAATCTATATGTTAAGACAAATCAAACAAGATCACACATGACTATATTTAGACTTACACATTGAGAGAATTTGATGAGTCAAAGTGCTTAGATGAACAGTTCCAAAAGTCAAAACTGGACGAATATGACGGGACGGAGGGAGTAATTAATATTATAATTTTTTAAAAAGAAGAAGTGCTACAATTTTATTAATATGGAATTGATTACGTACTACTTAAATTACTTATTATTATTATTATTATTATTATTATTATTATTATTATTATTATTATTATTATTATTATTATTATTATTATTATTGTAACTGAGATTCGAAGGTAGTGCTCCTGACAACTATGCACATAAATTTCTAATTTTATATAGTAAAAGGGAACAACATTTTTCCAAATAAAGTCAGTTCAATCTATTTTTTAAAATTGTAAACATACTCGGATATAATTTTTAAAAAAAAAATTGAAAAAAAATACTTGCCATGATTTGGTTATAATAAAAAAATAAAATAAAACTAAATTGATTTACTTTTTTAATTTTTTAAGGGTGTAACCGAACCTTACCCAATTTTTAGAATTGGGTTAGGACATAGTTTTTCAAAGCGATGGGTCGCGGCGAATAGCAGAAGAGACACGTGATCTCTCATAAATGGCGTGAGATGAAGGCGAAAGTTTTCAAGTCCATTGGCATATGGAACAAACAAAATAGCAAATGAAAGAGTGGCTAAAGCAACAATCAAGCCACATGGGGGCGTTGATACAATACACTAGTGAACGAGTCTCGTTATTTACGCACATTGGCGTGTGGCAAATTATGCGGCATTGCATGAAGTGACATCATGCTTTGAAATTTCAAGTTTCGAAACACACCAAAATTGCATGAAGTGACGTCCGTTTGGGTCATTCGTTGTCAAGACTTCATATTAACTTGAATGACTTGGGCGACAAATAAGAAGAGGCCTCCATGCCCCCCCTTCCCCCCCACGTCTTCTTCCATGCATGCCACATACCGAACCAATATTAGAGTCTGGTCAAAACAATAAAGGAAAGCGTCCAGCAACCTCATCCAGTAGAGTGTACAAACAAAATTTTGACGAAATCGCCCTATACATGAAAATTTTTATCGATGTCCATGAGCAAAAAGAATATAATAACATGTGGTTGTTTTGGACGTCGATATAGCACTTGACCGGGTGCGCAAGGGAACTTGTGAAGTAGAGGAAGAAAAATATAAAAAAGGGGGTGAAGTTGAAAACTTTCGCCTGAGTTGCTCATAAGACACTTGAGTTGCTCATAAGAAACTTGAGTTGAACCACATTAAAAGATTAAATCCATTACTTAGTTCAAAACAATAGCTTATACACTGATTTACTCTCTTCAAGTTCCGATGTGGGATACTCTTTAATTGAAACACCCTAATCCGTCTATGTCTGCAACCCCTTTTAAACTAAAGTATTGACTTGGTAGCGACAAATTTTCAAACATTTAAAAATTTTATTTCATCATAAAATATCATTTCAACATAATCGGAATTCATAATAAATTTCCGGAAGCTCAATAAACAATTGTTTCACATCATAATCATCAAATATAAATAATTCATTTTTGAAATATTTATTTGAACAGCTGGAAAATCATCACACATCTGCCCGACATCTCGTCCTCGTTTGTCACCAGGATCAACGACACATCATTCTTTATTTTGTTTACATCCGTTTAGCAAATGAAACATACTACACGCTCAGCAATGCAGCTCAGTGGGGATATCTAATACATCGAACATCCACATAAATTGATTCACAATTCATAACAAACCATTTGATATCATGCACATAATATTCAGTTTAATATTCTATATTCTTGGTGTCAACAGTGCTCTTAAATTATTCTTAGTCTAAAACCAAATCATAATAATGCTCTTAAATTATTTTTAGTCTAAGTCCAAATTATATATGTCACAAAGCTCTTAAACTATTCTTAGTCTAAGGGAGAATACAAAATTAAGACCTATCCTACAAGTCTTAGAGGTCACGATCAGAAAACCGAACAACGGGCAACTCACTGTCGAGTGGGTTGTATCCCCAAACAAGTAATCATCTAGCTTGGTTTGTAGATCTCGTACGTACATTTTAACCCAGACCACCAGACATCATACCCGCAAGACTCAAACTATTTAAGTCACATGGGATCTATCTTAGAGTTTTTCTAGATAGCCTTAATCGCTCATAATCATCATTTAGTCCAGGTTCCAACATCATAATTAATAAAAAAACAATCATCATAATATTAAGTATCAGCCTAGTATCGAGTGTTAACGCCTAGCTTAGCGTCATGCATCAAATAAGATTCTTTAAATGATCAAATCATCATATTTAGCTTGGAAATGATATCCACACTGTTTATAGTTGAATAGTATCCAAAATAGGATTTTACAGCTTTAAAATCGAATTTGTGAGCGCTGAAAAAGCTTGTGACGGTCGACTGTTACCGCCTCCGTGCAACTGGACTTGGGACGGTCGAACGTTCCTGGTAACGTACTGGAACACCAACTGGTTGAGGAACGGTCTACTGTTTCACACTGCGGTTAACTGATCATACACCAATCCTTGATAATTTAGATCTGACAATCGGGTCAATCGGTTTGGTTCCGGTTCAGATTTTTTTGTTTCGAGTCTCTTTTAGATATATGTTGTAATCGATTCGGTTTGGGTCAGTTCGGTTCCGAGTTTATTTCGGTTTGACTAATTTTTGGTTTCGATTCGGGTTTGTATCAGATCAGGTTTATATCGGTTCGGATTTGTATCAGTTCGGGTTTGTATCCACTCGGGTTTATATCAATTTGGGTTTATATCAGTTTAGGTTTATATTAGTTCAGGTATATTTTAAATATATACTCCATCCGTTCTAAAAAAAGTTCATCGTTTGACTAAATATAAAAATAATGAAGTCTTAAATTGTAGTTGACTTCCAACTTTTCCCTTAATATGATGGGTAAAAGTAAGATATGATGAATAGATTATTAGAGAAAAAGTATGATGTGATAAGTAAGGTATGAAAAAGTAAGAGTAAAAGTAGTTTTTTAATAGAAAATGGAAGTATTTTGTTAGAAGTTGAAAAAATGAAAGAAGAAGTGTTTTTTTAGAACGGATGAAGGTTTTACACCTTATGTATAGTTTACATAATACGATGTTTATGGTAATTTACCGTTGCATGTCCAGATTTCTTGTCACGATTGATTTGATGGGCGTAAATCATGGCAGAGAATCGGTCATCAATCGCCACGATCCGTGTGAATGACCGTCGCTTTACAGCTAATTCGCGGCACAAGCCCAATCTCTCAAGTGATCCACTTACGGCCAATTATACAAAAATGCTAGCGGATTGAAGTTATAGCTTATTAGGCCGGTTCTAGATCTAGTTGGGCCAGATATCCATCATGCACTATGCCAAATATTGTAGGGGCCAAAATATCCTTTTGTTTTATCACATTTTCTTTCTGGGAGTTGATATATGCACTCCAATTAAGTTATTGGCACTCCACCATCTTTATTTCTTTTAGTAAAATGACCATCTTGCCCTCCTTCAATTAGAAAGTATCTATCCTATTACCATAAGATTTTCTGTACAAAAGGTTACAAACAAAAAACAACAAATAAATAGGGAGCAAGTCCAAATATCTTTTGTACCAAAAAACTCAAAATTCTTCATGTTCCAATATTGCAGTTTTTAAATAGACAATACTCTAATAATGTACTCTACGGTACCGGATTTTAATTGGTTCATACATGACAAAAAAATAGTATTCCCCTCCGTCCCATTTTATAACGCCTGTTTCGGTTTACGATGTTTGATTGAAATTATTTTCAAATCATTTTATATGACAAATGGTATATAGTTAAAAAATAAAAATTACATACTCCCTCCGTTCTCAAAAATACTTCCTCTTTCATTTTTCTCACTTCCAACAAAACACTTCCACTTTCTATTAAAAAACCACTTTTACCCTTACTTTTTCATACCATACCTATTGAATTTGAATTTGAATAACGCGAATTCGAATCATCATATTTGAATACAAATCACGAATCGAATTTAAAATACTCCCTCCGTCCCTAAATAGATTACATTCTTTTTTTCTCTCTCCTCTCGATAACTTTTGTTTGTTTACGCGATTTCATTAAGTATTTGATAAAATAAAATATTCTTATCACCTCTTGTTTTGTAGAACTTTTGACGTAGTTTTTTAATATGTAATTTTTATATCTTATTGATA